ATTGTGTACATGTGTGTATGCATCAATGTACACTGTGTGTCTGTGAATGCAAATGCGTGTGCGTGAATCCATGTACATATATAGGCACATGCACACATGAGTGCATATGTGTACTCATGCATGTGTGCACCATGTGTCCATGTGCATGTAAACAGGCATGTGAACATGTGTCCATGTCCCAAGATGCACATGTGTATCACGTGTGGTGCCTCCAACAGCCCTGTGCACATCTATGAGGCTCATGACCCTGTGGGTGATGTGCAGTGTTCGGTGACCTGGGAATGCACATGTGATGTGTGTTCATGTGCGGGACATGCATTCCTGCCCATGTGTAAACAGGTGTACTTGTCCACACATGCACAACTGTGTGTGCATGTAAGAAGTGTGTGCATGTGTGAGGTGTGTGCATGGTGTGTATGAGGTGTGTGTGATGTATGTGTGCGAGGTGTGTGTGAGGTGTGAGTGTTTGTGAGTTGCGTAAGTGTATTGCATGTGTGTGAGGTATGTGTGGGTATGTGTGTAAGGTGTGTGTGCATGGTGTGTGTGCATGTGTGAGGTGTCTGCATATGTGTGTAAGGTGCGAATTGTGTGAAGTGTGTGCATGTGTGTTAGTGTGTGAAGTGTGTATGTGATGTTTATGAGTGTAAGGTACTTGTGTATATTGCATGTGTGTGATATGTGAGGTGTATGATATTTGTGCATGTGTAAGGTGTGTGAATGTGTGAGGTATGTGTGAGGTGTGTGTGCTTGGTGTGTGTGAGGTATGTGCGTGTGTACATGTATAAGGTGTGTGTGTACTGCATGTGTGTGAGGTATGAGATGTGTGGGTGTGTGTGTGTATGCATGTGTGTGAGGTGTGTGCGTGTATTGTATGTGTGTGAGATATGTGTGTGCACTGCACGTGTGTGAGGTGTATGAGATGTGTGTGTATGTATGTGTGCATGTGTAATGTGTATGTGTGCTGTGCGGTCCTGATGTGGACAGAGCAGGGAGCAGGGCAGTGGTGGCTCCGTGGGCCTGGCGCCCCGGGGCTGTGGGGGCTGTGGGGGCTGTCGGGGATGTGCCGTGGTAAGAAACCAACTCCCAGACCCCTGAGCTACAGGTTGGTTTGCTCGTGGGAGCAGGAGTGCTGGCACTGGAGAATGTCCGGAACCTTCCTTCCTGCTGGACGACCCTCAGCGCGGTGCCCCACCTCAGACCTCGTAGCCCCTGGGTGGTGCCCCCGCTCCCCGCTGCAGCCTCCCCCCTCCCACTGCACACCTCCCGGCTCCCCCACTCTGCCCAGGCCCAACCCCCGAGTCCTTCGAGACAGGAGCTGGGGGTGGAGCAGGGGACCAGCTGCCCACAGGACAGCCCTGGTCTGACCTCACATCTGTCCACCACTCCCTTTGTCCCCCTTACCCCCCATCCCCCTCACAGTCTCCCACTCCTTCCTCCTCCCTCTGTTCCTCCCTCACTCCTTCCTCCCCCATCGCCCCCTCACGCACTCCTCCGGCCTGCTCCTGCCCCTCTGGTTTCCTCCTCTTTTCTGCAGCATTCTGAGGGGAAACCCGGACGGTCCAGCCAGTGACGTACCGGAGAGCCAGCACGTACTGGGTCCAGGTGGCCTTGCCCACCCGGCCTCTCTTGCCCCGGGAAGGAAAGGGAGGGTTGAGGAGTGGGTGAACACCGAGCGCAGAGCCAGCGCAGGCCCCCAAACAAAACAAAAGAGAAAGCAGCAAGCATCAAGGCGGCCACCCGCACCTCACACTGGGCGTGAAGGCAGCTTTTGGCAAGAGAAGCTGCGAGGTAATTAGCAGGGACTCACCCGGGAATTTCTCAAGGAAAATCAAAGTTGACAATAGTTTTAATTTTGCAAATGGCTTCGCTGTGGACCAGGAGCCTCTGTGCAATGAGAGTTTTAACCACACAGAGGGTGAAGAGGTAAATAAAGGTGGGCAGCTGGAGGGAGCCCCTGGACCCTGCGGTCAGTAAGCCAGCGGCGCCTCTCCACAGCAGGCATCTGGGGCGGTGTCCCCGAATCTGTTAGGGGAGTGGCGGGCAGGAGGAAGCGTGAGGACACCACTAGGGGGTGGGTCACCCTCTCTGCCGGCCCCCACCTCCCAGCCCTGCAGGCAGAGCAGAGCTGCCACTAGGGGGCGCTGGCGGGCGCGCAGTCCTGGGTTCTGGGGGGAGGAGCGGGTCTGCGGTGACCTCCCCTTGGGGGAGGGGCGCGGGCATCCCACCCGGCCCAAATGCAGGGGCGGGGCTCCCTCTGCAGACTAGAGGCCGCCAGGGAGGGCCTCGCTGCTGGGTCCCCAGCCTTAAAGGAGCAGACCAGGGAGAGTGGGGACGTGTGTTGGGCAAGGGGTGCTGATCCCAGGCAGAGTCTGCGCCTCCCACTCAGCCGCAGGCCTCACTCTGCCTCCGCCTCCAAGTAGCCTTCCCTGACTGCTCGTCCCAGGGGAGTGCGTCCCCTCACCCTAGAAGCCTGGTGCCATATCACTCGCCTTCTGGCGCCCAACCTGCCCCAAGCATGCGACTGTCCAGCCTCACCGCAAGAAACAGTCCCAGTCAGGTTGTTCCCCACGCCTGTTGCTAGCTTGGGTCCACGGAAGGAAGTGAGAGGGGGTGTCTGTGCGGGTCAGGGCAGCTGGGGGCACGCAGCCAGGGACGTCACAGGGGCCTGTGTCCGCGGGGGCCCTCAAGCCTCGTTCTCGTGGACATGTGGTTCACACGGTCAGAGGGACGCCTTGACTCCTGGGCCGGGCCTGGCGCTGCCCTGGGCTCGGGTGCAGGACTGGGCACTGCCCACCTGAGTCCCCGCTGTGTCTCGGCCCCACAAGCAGAAACTGCCCCGTCCCCGGCCTTGAGGTGGAGGCTGCTGATGTCCCCTGAGTGAGGAACCCCTCAGGACACAGCCCCCCTGGACACAGCCCCACTGGACATGGCCCGCAGGACGCGGCCCCCACATGGCCTTGGGACGCCCAACTGCACCCCAGCAGCAGGACACGTGGGACCAGGCTGCGGCCCCTGAGACCACGGGGCTTAGCCTGGCTGCCGGCCCCTTCCCAGAAACCCTCTCCCACCCACAACTGCCGGGTGGTAACCCAGGGACCTTGCAGGCTGGGCCGGCCCCCCAGGTGGACATTGTGGGCTTCTGGCTGCCCTGTCCAGGGGGCCTCTCGGTCACTCAGGGCTCACTCCCGCCGGTGTGAGGCGCAGCACCAGAGGTGGGACTAGGGACATGCTGGGGACCGAGGAGCCCCCCTGAGAGCCACTGCCCCTGCCTCTCCTCACCCTGCTCTCCCCTTCCCCCCATTTCTCCCCCTCCCTCCCCCTCCTCCCCTCCTCCTTTCCCCTCCCCCCTCCTCCTGAGCCCCCCTCCTCCCCTTCCTACCCCCAACTCCCCCTCTCCCCTCCTCCTCCCCGCCCTCCAGTCACCCAGTCACCCACTCCCCCCGCCCCCGGAACTCTGCGGGAGTCTGCAAGACGCTCATGCCCAGGACCAGAGGGTCACTGTCCCTGTTTCACACCCCAGGCCCTGGGGCAGAAGCGGCCAAGCCAGGCTTGTGGGCAAACGGGGCCTGACCCAGCAGTGCCAGCGCCCTCAGCAGCCCCGTTCCAGGCGCGGGGCCAAGCCGGGGGCGGCAGGCAGCAGCTTGCGCCTGTTCGGGGAGGGTAACGAACCCCAGGGGAACAAAGAACTTTGGAGAGGAACGGGTGCCGGGAGACAGTGAGCTGGCAGCCGCAGGGCAAGGGGGGCCTCGACCCGCAGGGAGAGAAGCCTGCCAGGGCCTTGAGATGCGCTGCTGGGGGCCCGCTGTGCGGCCAGTGGGTTTCCGTCCTCCGTGTGCAGGGGGGCAGCAGGGCCTCGTGGGGCTGCGAGGTTTGGACCCTCTGCAGCTGTGCCAGTGTGCAGAGGACACGGGAGGGCGAGCGGGCGGGCACCACGCACAGCCATTGACCCTTCGGCCTGGTGGGCCACGGGGAGGCCTCAGAGCCACTGAGTCCAGGGTCTCACGGCAGAGCGGGGGTCTGTCAGCTCCTGGGGGAGTCGGAGGCACTGGGGAACGTGAGTGACTCATTTGAGGCACCAGAGATGGGCAGCTCGTCGTTTCCTCCCCCTGTGCCCACGGGCCCCCAAGAGCACCTGAGGTCACCGGCCTGTGTTGGGGACCCCAGCCGAGGCCTCAGGCACCCCCACCCTAAGGGCACGTGGCAGACCTGGCCACACTGTGTCCCAGCTAGACTATGCCCCGACAGCACCGTGGCCTGTGCCACAGGGACCCTGCCCGACCCAGCCCTGGCAGCAGGAGTGGGCCCGGGAGCTGCCTTGGGTGAGTGGACAGGTCATGGGGCTGCCAGTCTGGGTTGGGCCACCCTCCCCCGGGGCTCTGTCCTCAGAAGTTGGCCTTCCCTGATGGCCCAGGGCATGCAGTGGGCATGGGGCAGGCAGGTAACCCCCCGCGCCCCCAGTGGGACGCTTGGGTTTGCTCCTGGTGATTCTGGTCTCGGAACCCTGGGAGCATGCGGGACCCCTCTGGGCTGGGCGGTGGGTGTCCGGAGGACCCTGGTTAGGGAGCTCGGGCAGGCTCGGGGCAAGAGGCAGAGTGGGTGCTGGCTGATGCCGAAGGGTGACCTTGGTCAGGCCGGCAGCTTCCCCACACCTCGCTCTCCCCAGCCCAACTGTGCCCCGCAAGAGCCTGACTCCTGGCAGCCGAGGTTGGGCCCGCTTTTCTGGAACTTTCCCTCTCCAGTATGCATCTTCCCCATGTAGAGCGGGACGGTCTGCATGCCTGGGCACGGTGGGTGCCCGATTGCCCCGCTGGGCTGCCCGCTCTGGGTTCACGGGTGCAGCTGGAGTGTGTCCAGACTCCGGGCGGGGGCGCAGGGCGCAGCCGCCCGCGGGGAGCCCGGATGGGACACCCCCAGCCAGGACAGGCGCAGCGGGCGCAGAGAAGGGGCGGGGAACGCGCCCCCCGCTTGGCCCTCGGCAGCCCCCGCCCCTCAGCCCTTACCTTGAACCATGGGAACGGCGCTGCCCCGCCAGCCGAGGACTTGGGCGCACGTGACGGGGAGGTCCGTCCCGCGTCCGACCGTCCGTCCGTCCCCGGCTCGGCTCGGCGGCGTGGAGAGGCGAGTGCGAGCTCGGCGGGAGCCCTGGCAGCCCCGCTGCGGCCGCGCGGCTCCGGACGGCCCGGCTGGCTCCCGGCTGGCTCCCGGCACGCGCGCGGCTGGCAGCCCGGTTCCGCGCCGGGGCGCGCGCAGGCGGCCGGGGCGCGCGCGGGCCCGGATCGCGCGCCGCCAGCTGCGCGCGCGTCGTCGGGGGCTGCGCGACCCGGTCCGGAGCTGTCCCCGGTGCTGACGGCTCGAGCGGGGCCCCGCCGGGGCTGGCACCCGCGCCCGCCCCGCCCCGCGCCCCGCGCTCTTTGTCCGCCTCTTGGCGCGCTCCTCTCGGAGCTCCGAGCCGATGGGGCGAGAGCAGCTGTTACCCACCCCGACCCGGGCCAAGGCGGGCTGGGGTCTCTGCTTCTGGCTTCAGAGGGTGCCAGGGGCGGGGTGGGCACCGGATGGCCAGGGCCCAGCCCGCAACGGCCGCCAGGCACGGCCGCGGCTGCGTGTCCTTCCTCGCTCGGTTGTCAAGCCAGGAGCAAGTGGTGGGCGAGGATCCGACTGGGTGGCAGGTCTTGGGGGCCGCGGCCCCTGCAACTCTCCGACGTCCGTGGGGAGCGACCGTGGGAGGTTCCCGGGATCCCGTGTGGGGTCGTGCTTGGAAGAATGTTTGGGTGCCGCTGCCTGTCCGTGCCCCAAGAAGGGCCAGGGCAGAGTGCCTGCAGGCAGTGGGGAGGGGGTGCAGGGTCCTGGATCCCTGCCCGGCACCGGAAGCAGGTCCAGCTGGGCCATTCCCACCCGCTGAGGGCGTGGGGCTGCATCCACAGCAGCCCAGCTCCGCTCCGCCTGGTGCCGAGGGCCCCGTGCCCTGAGCTGCCCGCAGCCACCAGACCCTGGAGATGCTCTCACGGGTCCAGCGGGCCCCTTCCCTCATCCATGGGAGTGGGGAGCTACCCACGGGCACCTCCCTCAGCCCCTTCATGCCCCATCTGTTCCTAAGGTTGCTGGGCTGGGCCCTGCCCCACTGGCGCCTGATAAACCACCCCACGAGGCGCTTTATGCACTTCGTGTGCCTTGCCTTGCTCGGTGCCCTCCGCATGCCAGGAGCCCCGGGTGCTGGCCCTGGGGGGGAGCCGCACCTCCCACTACCCCAATTCTGCGCTGCTCTCCCAGCCAGAGCTGACAGTGAGCACGGGTGGGGACTCCATATAAGGGGAGAGGGGAGGGGAGGAGAGGCAGCCCCCCTTCCCGCTCTCTGGGGATCTGTAAGCCAGGCGGGCACAGAGCTTCCTGCCAGCACGGCTGCGCTCCTGGCTGGCGGCGCCAAGGATGGGGAGGTGCAGCCCCGCGGCCCCGCCCTGCCCACATCTGCCCGCATGGGCCGCTCAGCTCGGGAGCCCCTGGCCTGGAAAGCGTGACGTGCTCTCTGGGCCCGGGGCTGCATTCTGCACCCAGATTGTTTGACCCTGTTCTGTGGGTCCCCACCACCCTGAGGTCCCACCTCGTAGCCTCACGACGGTGCCAGTGTCTGGGGGTGTCGATGCCGGAGGAGCACTCCCTGACTCACCTGCTGTACAGTTTCGAAGCATGCCTGGTGCGCAGAGCCCGATTCCAGAATACGGGGCGGGGGGCAGGGGTGAGGAGGCATCAGCCTGGCGTAGGGGCCCCAAGGCCCCCGGAGTTTGGGGTGTGCGTGCACACAGCTGGGGGCCATGTCCGCCCCCACCTGCTGTCCCGCCCAGCCTCAGTTCCGGGCCCCTCGGTCCGGTCCCTCAAGCAGCCCCTGCCACACAGCCCCGAGAAAATGCCTTGCACCCAGCAGGGGGGCAAGTGGGAGAGACCCCCACGCGGGCCCTGAGTGCAAAGGGGGCCCAAACGGGGCACTTTCCTGGGGGCAAGCATGGGTCATGGGTCCATGAGGAGGGTTTGATGGGGGATCCGAGAGGAGATTCTGAGGGGAGGGTCAAAAGGCAGGGTTCAAGAGAGCATCTGAGAGGAGGGTCTATGGGAAGGGTCTGAGGTGGGTCGAAGGGAGGGTCTTCGAGGAGTCTGAGGGGAGGGTCTGAGGGGACAGTCTGATGGGCATCTGAGGGGAGGGTCTCGGGGCACGGTCTGAAGGGAGGGTCCAAGGGGAGGGTCTGAGAGGGGTGTGAGGAGAGGAGAGTCTGAGGTGGGTCTGAGGGGAGGGTCCGAGGAGAGGGTGCAAGAGGTATCTGAGGAGAGGGTCTGAAGGGGCAACTGAGAGGAAGGTCCAAGGGGGATCTGAGAGGAGGGTCCAAGAGGAGGGTCTGAAGAGAGGGTCTGAGGGGAGAGTCCGAGAGGAGGGTTTGAGTGGAGGATCCGAGGGGAGGGTCTCAGAGGAGGGTCTGAGGGGAGGGTCCGAGGGGAGGGTTTGAGGGGAGGGTCCGAGGGGAGGGTCTCTGGGGAGGGTCCAAGGAGAGGATCTAGGGGGAGGGTCTGAGGGGGGTGTGAGGGAAGGGTCAGAGAGGAGAGTCCAAAGTGGGTCTGAGGGGAGTGTCCAAGGAGAGGGTGCAAGAGGAATCTGAGGAGAGGGTCTGAAGGAGAGACTGAGAGGAAGGTCCAAGGGAAATCTGAGGGGAGGGTCCAAGAGGAGGGTCTGAAGGGAGGGTCTGAGGGGAGGGTCTGAGGAGAGGGTCTGAGGGGAGGGTCTCGGGGGAGGGTCCAAGGGGAGGATGGGGGGGTCTGAGAGGAGGGTCCGAGGGGAGGGTCCGAGGGGAAGGTCGTATGGGGCATCTGAGGGGCCGCAGCTCCCTCTAGATTTCTGCGGTGGCACAGCTGCACCCTTGCATCAGCCTCTAACCACAGCACCACCCGGCAGGTGACAGCCCCGCGGACAGAGGGAGTCACAGGGTCTGGGTGTGTGCCCCAGCCTTTCCAGGGGTCACAGCTCCCGACACAGCCGAGCAACCGCTGATCATTGTTCACAGTCCCCGGGTCCTTGTGGGTGCTCACGAGGTTTTGGGGGTGCCTGGCAGCAGGCCTGAACACCACCCCGAGTCTGCCACCTGTGCAGGCGCGAGAGGGAAGAATGGGGAGTTGGGCCAGAGTGCAGTGGCTGGGGGCCAGCCCTGCACGTGGCTGACGCAGTTCCATCCCTATATGGCCTCCTGAGTCCACCAGGGGCGATCCCTGAGCATAGGGCCAAGAGTCAGCCCTGAGCACTGCCAGCTGTGGGCCCGAACCAACCAAACAGAAAGAAAGAAAAGGAAAACACAAATGAGTCAGGCCCCCAGTGCCTGTGTGTTGGGGTGCGTATGTGGCGTTGGGGGTCCGCTGCCCGGGTGGGAAACAGACGTGGCTGCTGGCACAGACATTGCTCGTGGATTTTAATTGCTGCAGCGTCTTACAACGTTGTGACAGTGAGCTTGATCTGCTCATTCTCCGGAATGCTGGAGGCTGTGGGTGAGGAGATGGCGCCGTGAGGTGCAGAAATTAATCAGCAGTCCCTCGGGGAGCTACGGAGCACTCGCTCCTCACTGCAGCAGGGCACGAACAGTGTTTGCGATCTCCTGCTCTCCCCGCCAGAGCACTTCACCTCAGACGTCCAGGCGGGCATGCATTCCCCCTCGCACTCACTGTCACCATGGGTGGGATGCTGAGGTGGCTCTGCAGGGCTCTCTGTGCCTGCCCTGGGCTCTCCGAGGTGCCGGGTGCCACCTTCGCCCAGGACCACAGTCTATGAAGAAGTGGAGATCACCTTGGAGCGTCCAGCCTTGCCCTCTGTGCTTTGCTGGGTGAGGAGGAGGCAAGGATGTGGTGAGAAGTGACCTGGTCAGCCAAGGGGCCAGTAGGGGCACTGAGAGCGTGAGGGGGTGTTGAGGGTGCAGGGGTGAAGAGTCAGTATACTAAGTGTGCAGAGGTGAAGTGTGGGGGGGCTCTGAGGGTGCAGGGCTGAGGCACAAATATATTGAACATGCAGGGGTGAGATGTGAAGAGAGGGCAGTGAGGGTGCAGGGGTGAGGGATGAGGGGGGACACTGAGGGTGCAGGGGTGAGGTGTGAGGGGACACTGAGCGTGCAAGGGTGAGGTGTGAGGGGACACTGAGGGTGTAGGAGTGAGGTGTGAGGGGGACACTGAGGGTGCAGGGGTGAGATGTGAGAGGCACCGAGGGCGCAGGGGGGAGCTGTAAGGGCGTCAAGCGCGCAGGGTGAGATGTAAGGGTGCTCAGGGTGCAAGGGGAGGGGAGCACCTCAATTTCCCCACGGGTTGTTCTAAGCTCTGCCCCTCACAGGCCTGCTTGGTCCTCTGAGTAATGCAAGCTGGCAACCATCCTGAAAGCAAGGTCCTGCTGGCCCCAGAGCCTGGAAGGGGTGTGGATGTGGGGGCTGGAGCTTCTGTCCACCCGGGGTGCCACGCGTCTCCACCTCAGGTGGAGCCTGGAGGGGCTGCCAAGGGGTTGGCCCACAAACAGGGGGCCACTGCCCGACGCCCACAGCCTCCCCCACCCCCAAGTGTACCTACGCCCTTTCACGAGGTGGCTCGCTCGTGGCTGAGGCTGCCGAGGGCTCTGTCGGGGCGCAGAGCGGGGCCGAGCCTGACGCATCCCTTCTCCCAGACAGCCCTGTCCCCCGCAGACCTGCCTGGCCCCTCCTCGGGGGCTGTATCCCGGGCCCCTTTCCTCCTCCCAGCTCCTCTGTGGACTCCGAACATCCTTTGGGTTGGTGGGAGGGTGGGACTGCCTGTGGCTCCTTCAACAGACTGTGAGGGCCCGTGATAGCCCCAAATGGCCCCAGGTGTCCCGTGATGGCCCTAGATGGCCCCAGGTGACCCCAGGTGGCTTGTGATGGCTCCAGATGGCCCTCGATGGCCTTCAATGTCCCGTGATGGCCTGTAGATGGCCCATGATGGCCTGTGATGGCCCTCGAGGGCCTGTGATGGCCCATGATGCCCACGATGGCCTGTGATAGCCCCAGATGGCCGGCAGCCACCTTCCAAGACCCCGTGTCTTTGACGACACCCACTGTTCACACCCCTTCTGGCAGCTCAACGTGTGGCGTGTTGGTCAGAGGCTCTGCAGGAGCATCTGAGTGTCGGGAGCACGGAGTAGCATGACAGGCTTTGGGAGCAGATTGGGGTCCTCACCCCACAGGCTGTATCACCTCGGAGAAGGATCTTGACTTCTCTGTTCCTTGTTGGGTTGGTGTCACAGTCACAGGCTGAGCTGGGAGGTGCCCGCCAGGTAGGTGTCATCACTCTGAAACCAGATCCACGCGCCAGCAGCCACAGACAGAACCTCAGGCCAGGACCAGAGGCTGCAGGAGGGTGGTAAGAGGCGCTGGTGCAGAGGTGCAGAGGGCGAGAGGGTGGCCACACTGGGTGATGCCCAGGGGTCACTCCTGGCTCTGCACTTAGGGCCTACGTGCGGTGCCAGAGATGGAGCCCAGGTCAGCTGCATGCCAGGCAGACACCAGCGCCTCTGGTCTGCCTCTTGACGCCCCCTCCTCCTTTGCTCCGTGTCCAGTCTGGGGGGTCCCGGGCTGGCAGCTCAGCAGCTGCACAGTGGGCCATGGACAGGCAGCCCTGCCGCACACACAGGCAGAGCTTCTGCCTGGGCGTGTCCAGACAAGGCCTGTGTGGCCAATTACGGGTGTGCCAGGTCGGCCAGACGCAAGGAAGCATTTTAAAAATCAATGTTTTTGTACCCATCAGTATAACCTGATTAGACACGCAGCGAGGAATTGATTCAGTGACAGGTCTCTGGAGCTCAGGAGGCCGGGGCGCAGACAGACAGCGCGCCCCGCGGGGCTGGGGTGGGCGGTGCAGATGGAGAGCACGCCCCCGGGGGGATGGGCACCCGCACCCCGCGTTTTGCTCTGCCCGACATGAAAGCTCTTGATGAGCCAACGCGACACTCGTGCCCAGCTCTGCAGACCTCAGTGGGAGCCACTCGGCCTCCCGGGCCGAGACCCCGTTGCTCTGTTCAGCCCCAGGAGTGACGCTGCGGTCGGCCGAGCTGCCTCCTTCTGCCCAGCTCCTGGGGCGACCCCCAGCTGCTGCCACACAACCCTTCAGCAGTCTACGGCGGTTGCTCAGGCTCCCGGCTCTCTGATCAGCCCCTTAGTCCAGAAGCTTCTCTGGGAAGCTGGTGGTTAGGCATCACAGCTGGGTGGATGCTCCCATGGGTGACCCTCGGGGGGCCAGGGACCCGTGCTGGCCTCGTGACTTTCCTGTGACCCTCCTTTCCCATAATACCAGCTCGGACGGATGTGAGCACCCAGTGAAGGGGTCTTGCTCTGGGGTCCCCTTACTGTCTGGGCGGTCACTTCTCTGCCTCAGGTACAGGCCCCCCAGTGCACTCACAGGGCCCGCTCTGCTCTCAGACCGGCCTGGGACCGACTCCTCTAGGGAAACAGTGCTCCTTCAGTTTCCCCTTGAGCACTCGCGGAGGGCGGGTGGGTGCCCAGGCACTTGTGTCCATGTATAGTGGACACTGAGGTTCCAGCCAAGTCATCCGTGAGCACAGAGCCCGGAGCATCCGAGAACCACTGGGGGACGCCCAGGAACTGCAGTAGCCGAATAAGAGAAGAACCCAGCAGTTTCCTGCGCCAGGCCTGGCTCTGCCATGGGGCCGGGTTCGTCCCCACCAGCACTGGGCCTGAGCAGGTCCGAGAGTAGCCGCCAGCGCCGGCATGAGCCACACCTCCCAGGAGTGGTCCTGGGTGGGATCTACGGGGGACGCCTCGGGGGTGCCCAGCTCTCCTGGGACGGGGGCCCTGGGAGGGGCCTCAGGGGACCCATGCTGACGTGCTGGAAAGGGCCCTTTGGCATCGCTTTGGAATCGAGGCTGCAACTTAGAAATAACCAGAATGTGCCATAGGAGCCACAGCAGCCCCCGCACGCCGCTGCCCTCAGGGCCCCGTGGGCCCCGTTGCCCAGAAGATGGCAAAGGAAGTTGGGGGGGCAAGCGGGCAGCAGGGGGACCCCAGGCAGGTGCCCAGGACACAAAGGTGCGTCCCCAGAACAGGTGTCCCCGGAGGCAGGTCCCCCGCCCTGTGACACCCCAGCCCCTCACCCCAATTCCAACAACTGCCCAGAAGCTGTGCCGGGGCCTGGCTGTCCCACCCAGCACCCCTGGCCGCGTCCCCATAACCTGATCAGTGCAGGGAAATTGGATCAGGCGCCTCCACCGAGCCCAGCCCCGGGCAGCGCCTCTGCCGTGCTTGCCCGCACACGGCAGCTTGATTGAATTTCCTCCTGTGCGTGCGGCTGATGGGGCGGCAGCTGCCGGCCGGGACTGCCCAGGGCACGGTCACCACCATCCGCGCAGCCAGATGCCACGTTCCTGCTCTGGGGGGGGTGGCGCCTTCAGAGCGGGTGGAAGGCCCTGACGACCTTCGACCCCGCAATTCTGCTTCCGCTGATGTCCTGATGAAGCCCCGGTCAGGCCATGGGATCCACGGGTTCTGTGCCATCACCCGGCCGCTCCACCTCCCACAGTGGGCGCCAAGAGCTGGCTCTTGCGAGCCAGGAGGGCACTCAGGAAGTGGCGTGGCCTGGCAGCTGTCTCTGGCGTGGGGGCACCCGCACCCCACTTCTGCATGAATCCGAGAGACCTGAGGGCGCTGACTGTGACACACCCCACAGCCGGGCCCAGCGAGCAGCCGTGGGGCCGTGCACTCCAAAAAGGAATGGGTGTTGTGTGTAGTGTGTGAGAGTATGTGCGTGAGAGTATGTTTGTGCATGTGTTTGTGTGCATGTGTGTGTACGAGTGTGTGTGAGTGTGTGTGGTGGAGGCAACACTTGGCCTTTCGCTGTGCCTTTCTTCCTTCTGCCCCGCCGGCCCTGCTGACAGTGTCCCTCGGGCACGGCCTCTCTCCCTGGCTGAGACCCGATGCGCTGTCCCCAGGAGCAGAGCCTGTGCTGGCCGCTGGGGCCATCCGCATGGGGCGGTCAGTGGCAATCAGGTTCTGGTTCCTCCAGAGGGAGGATGATGGAGGAGCAAGATGGGGGCGTGGGTGGTAGATGGAGCAGGGAGGCAGTCACGTACCCACAGCAGTCAGCTGAGGACAAGCAGGGAGGACTTCTTGGAGGTGGCAGCACAGATCTAAGTGTGGTAGTGCACCCCAATCCAGTACCCGCCCTCACAGTGCCCCCCTATCCGCTACCCCCCCATGGTGACCCCAATCCAGTACCGCCCCCGCGGTGTCCTTCAATCCACCTGCCCCGATCACCCTGGGGGCCAGAGGCAGTGGGCAAGCCTGTGGACACCACCCACACAGACACCCCTGGGAAACTGCCCTGTGTTGTGGGCTCGGCATGGGCCCACCCCTCCGGCAGGCCCCGCTCCTCACGGCCACACCTGCCTGTCCAGCAGGCCAGGACCAGGGCAGCAGCCAGGCCACGGCTGGCAAGTTCTGGGAGTCACTGGGGGCTCGAGGCCAGTGGCCAGTCGGCTTCAATTGTCCCTGACGGGACCCATGTGTCATTAGGCCCATTAGGAGGCAGGAAGGCAAAGGCTTGCCTGGGGGCACGGGCTGCTGGGAGGGTCAGCAGGACAATCGAATTCGCCACCAGACAAATGTGATTAGGGAGGTCTCACCCCCCCCCACCCAGAGGACATAAAGGGCCTGGTGGGGCGCCCGTGCCCAGCCATGCAGGTCCCCAGCCCCAGCGCGCGGGAGGCTGCCTCCATGTACGGCACCGCCGTGGCCATCTTCCTGGTCATCCTGGTGGCTGCGCTGCAGGGCTCGGTGCCCCCCGAGGACCCCTTCCCCTACCATGTCCCCCTGGACCCCGAGGGGGTGCTGGAGCTCTCCTGGAACGTCAACTACGCGCAGGAGACGGTGCAGTTCCGGTTGCTGGTGCGCAGCCTGCGTGCGGGGCTCCTGTTCGGCATGTCAGAGCGTGGCGAGCTGGAGAATGCCGACGTGGTGGCACTCTGGACCGACGGTGACAGTGCGTACTTCGGGGTGAGTCTCTTCGTGCCTGGCCCTGCGTACCCCGAGCCCGGCAGAGGCAGTTTCGCTGCGGGTCCTGAGCAACAGGAGTCCTCAGGCCACGGGGGCTGCAGACACGCCCAGCTGCCAGCAGGACCTGTGAACCATGTTGGCAGACATCCCTGACTTCCAGTGGCATTCTTTCCTGCCGTAAAGGGGACGTCTCCCTTCCAGTGGGAGCGACCTTGGGGGTCTGCTGGGTGGAGGCGTGCCTGCCTCCCCCACGCCCCCCCCCCCGACATCTCATGGCTGTCCGTGCCAGCTGCGGAGATGCAGAGAGGACTGTGGGCCGTGTCTGGGGGCTACAGGCAGGAGGCCCTGAGCGGTGCTCTGGGGCTCTGCCCTCCCTGCAGACAGGAGAGAGGACCTGGAGTGTGATCGCGGGAGCTGCAGAGCCTATTTCTGTCCTCCCCCACATCTCACAGCCAGACTGGGCCATCTGCCTAGGCCCCCTAGGTGGGACGGGGGGTGGGGTGAGTGCCCAGTGGGGCCCTGCTCTGCCAGGTGGCTACAGCCCCCACCGTCCAAAAACCCTCAGGAGCTCAGGGGGCCACAACAAGAAAAACCTGGGGCTGCAGGCCCAATTCTGAGAATTCAAGACTATAGACACCCCCAGGGGAACGGCTGAGTCTGGGTGTGTGTGTATGTGCACAGGCACAGGCAAGTGTGCACACAGACACATGCATGCACACGTGCACATGTATGCATACAGGTACATGCACATACACACATGCACACACAGGCACATACATGCATACACGTGCACATGCAGGCACACACATACACACAATGACACATGCACACGCACATATATGCACACACAGGCACATGCACACACATATGCACATGGTCACATACATGCACACATGTACATAGGCACATGCACGCACAGGCACATTCATGTACACAGGCAATGCACACACATGAGCACGCAGGCACATGCATGCACACAGGACATACACACAGGCACGTGTGCACATGCACACAGGCACATGCACGCATACATGTGCACACAGAGAACATACACGCACATGCATGCACACAGGCCATCGCGAGGAATAGCATGCAGCTGCCCTAGCCAGGCTGCAGGCTGGGGGCCCCCGAGCGCGTCCAACAGGTTTCCGCGCAGACAGCGTGGGGCTTGCTTCGCTGTCTGCTGCCAAACATTCCACACACAGATTCTGGAGCCTGAGTGCCCCGTGTTCTGCCCGGGAAGGCCACGCCCGCGGGGTGAGCGCTGGCTCCTGTGTCTTTCCTGAGGCGGGCCGCTGCTCCTGACCAGGGCCTCCTCCTCCTGAGGTGGACAGGGGCCAGTGGAGGCAGTGCAGACCACCCCTGAAGGGCCCGAGGAAAATGCAGCCTGTCTCTCCCCAGCCTTGGTTGGGGCTGGGGGCAGTGTGGAGGGGCTCTGGGTGCCTCGCTCAGGGAGTTGCACTGCCCCCCGAGGGGGCGTGCCCCTGCTGCCCCAAGTCCCGCCTTCCCAGGGGCGTGCCCCTGTTACTCCAAGCCCCGCCTTCCCAGGGGCGTGCCCCTGTTACTCCAAGCCCCGCCTTCCAAGGGGGCCTGCCCCTGTTGCTCCAAGCCCCGCCTTCCCAAGGGGGCGTGCCCCTGTTGCTCCAAGCCCCGCCTTCCAAGGGGGCGTGCCCCTGTTGCTCCAAGCCCCGCCTTCCCAAGGGGGCGTGCCCCTGTTGCTCTAAGCCCCGCCTTCCCAAGGGGGCGTGCCCCTGCTGCTCCAAGCCCGCCTTCGCAGGATGCCTGGACTGACGCCGCTGGCCGCATCCATCTAGACCCCCAGCAGGACTACCAGCTGCTGCAGGCACAGAGCACCCCCGAGGGTCTGGCCCTGCTGTTCAAGAGGCCCTTCAGCACCTGTGACCCCAAGGATTACTTCATTGAGGTGGGTGGGGGCCAGGCCCGGGCCCTGGCTTCTGGCCAGTATGAAGATGGGGAGCTCCGGGAAGGGGGATGTGGGTGGTGTGGGAGAGGCCAGCACTGGGGTCACGGGGACAGCAGGGGAGGGGTGCAGTGGAGGGAGGGCCAGCTCTGGAGCCATAGGGAGGCAGTGGGAGTGATGCCCGCTCTGAGGTCACAGGGGGCAGAGGGGGAAGGGCCCTCTCTGGGGTCATGGAGGGCATGGGGAGGAATGCAGCAGGGGAACCGCCAGTTTTGAGGTCACTGGGGGAGGGCTTTGGAGGGGGCAGCAGAGGAGGGCCAGTCCTGGGTCAAGGGGTGCGGGCGGCCCCGCCAGACCACTCTCCGGCCTGCGGAGGTGGCCCTAGGATCCGTAGGTGCTGGGAAGGACCGACCGAATGAACACGAGACACAAGAGACAGAATGCAGCTCAGAAACAGAGAGAAAAAGGGACAGGACTTTATTGGGGGCAATCAGGATATATATCCATTAGTGAGGCAGCTACACTAAAGGTCGTGCCCATATATGGTTAGGAAGGTTTGTTTTCACCTATCATGCATTACAAGGTTTATGTGTATCTGGTACCAGACACGAGGTGATTACACAAAGGGCCATGTCCATATGATTTACCAGACATGAGGTAGATACACAAAGAGCCATGTCCATATGATTTATAAAATTTACATGCATCACGTACCAGACACGAGATAGTTACTTCTTGTTATTACTGACAGCCATGACAGATGTTCTCTCAGGATAACCATACATCAAGATAACCATACATAGCACTGGTTTTGCCTGTTGCGGGGTCACGTAGGTCAAGATGACCATACATAGCACAGGCTGTGCCTGCCGTGGGGTCGTAGGTCAGGATGACCATACAGGCACTTAGGCCTTGGTCAGTTAAAGGGCCAGCTTCCCACAAAGGGGTCAGTGGGGAGAGGGGGCACGTGAGGCAGGGGCGGCTCAGGGTCACGGGTTTCCCTGGGGGGACTGGGGCCCCAAACCCTGGGTCCATTCACCGTCTGGCTGCGGAGCATCAACGAGTCTCTGGCCTTTGAACTCGCTGCTAGCACGGTAGGCCCCCCAGAGTGAGCACTGTGGGGCTGGGCCTCTGCAAGCACTGTCCGCTGTGAGCTGTGAGCATGTGGGCTGAGCCTGTGTGAGCACTGTCGGCTGGGCCCACACGAGCACTGTTAGCTGGGCCCACATGAGCACTGTCGGCTGGGCCCACAGGACGGCACGGTGCACCTGGTGTTCGCCACCCTGGAGCAGCCCGTGCACTCACTGGAGGCCATCAACACGTCGGGGCTGCACGCGGGGCTGCAGAGGGTGCAGCTGCTGAAGCCCGACCTGCCGGTGCCCACCTTGCCGCCCGACACCCACAGCCTGGACGTGCGTGCGCCCAACGTGCTCATCCCGGCCCAGGAGACCACCTACTGGTGCTACATCACGGAGCTGCCGGCTGCCTTCCCCCGGCACCACATCGTCATGGTGTGTGGGCGGCTCAGCTCTGTCCCCCACCTGCACCCTGAGCCAGCTTTAGAGGAGCCGCCCCTCAGATCCGAGAGCTGGGCTGAGACCTGGCTCCCGACCCCCCTCGGCCTGCCCTCAGGGGGCCTCTGCATCCCCCTCTGGCCTGAACCGAAGGCAGCAGAATTCTGCCCCTCCATATCTGGGCTGTCTGCCCACCCGACTGTCCATGTCTGTCCGTCTGCCTGGCCTCCTCCCTACTTCATATAGGCAGCGCTACTCAGCACCCGGAGACTCCCGGCAGTGACCAGTGCCCACTACCTGTGCCCAGTGGGAGGGACCAACCATGCCAGGAGCCCTTCGTGGTCTGGCAGGCCCCGCCCGCACCGCAGAGCCCCCGGCCTGCAAGCTCGCTGCTGGGGCCTTTAGGGCAATAGGGCCCCCGGGGTGGGAGAGGGGATGGGCAACAGCGCCCGCTCAGGGTGCCCTGCCCTGCAGTACGAGCCCATCGTCACCGAGGGGAACGAGGCCCTGGTGCACCACATGGAGGTCTTCCAGTGTGCCCCCCAGTTCGAGAGTGTCCCGAGCTTCAACGGACCCTGTGACTCCAAGATGAAGCCTGAGTCGCTCAACTACTGCCGCCACGTGCTGGCGGCCTGGGCCCTGGGCGCCAAGGTGCGTGCTGGGGGCGGGGCTGTGAGTGGGCGCGGTGAGTCTGGGTGGGCGGGGCGGGTGGGGCTGTGGGTGCCCTGTGGGATATGGGTGGGCGGGGTGCGGCTGTCTGTCCTGTAAGCACCCTAGCCCCCTCCTCCTAGGTGCTGGCAACGGGGTTAGTTTTCCCTGGAATGGGGACCTTTGTGCCCACGTGTCTGGGCTGCTGGCGTGGTTGTGGCCCCCACAGTTGTACTCACAGTGCAGAGGTGGCTGGTGTCTGAGCAGGACCCCCCCTTGGGAGTCAGCAGCAGCTGCCCCTCTGCAGAGGTGCCTAACATAGCAGCCGCTCGGCCACCCGCAGCTCCGGCCCTACGTCGGCGGGCTTGCCACCCTTCCACCATCTCCCCTGGGCACCCGAACCCTGATGCCCGCCCTTCCTGCAGGCCTTCTACTACCCCCAAGAAGCTGGCGTGGCCTTCGGGGGCAAAGGTGCCTCCAGGTTCCTTCGACTGGAGGTCCACTACCACAACCCGCTGAAGATCACAGGTAGGCCGTGGTCAGGGCAGGGGTCACTGTGACTTTAGTGCTGTGGCCCTTGGGTCCTGCGACCCTCTCTGCCCTTCCCTGGCACAGTGGGCCGGTGGGCTCAGCCTCCTTAACCCCTCCCAGGCCCAGCAGGTGGGGGGACTCAAGGGTCACTGGGCAGGGGGGTCGCCAGCCTTGGCTGCCCTGGCCTGTGTGTGGTGGGCCCCATGGCTCCCCGCCCCTCGCTGGGCACCTCCATCCAGGCAGAAGGTTCTTGCAGGTCCCGCTGCACCCCACACGTACCCCCAAAGCGTAGACTCAGGCCTGTGCACAGGCCAGCCGCTACCCCCCCCCCACATGCATCACCAGTCCCTGCTGGGAGCCCCTGCGCTGCCCCTGCAACACCACGGCCCAAGGCTGTCAGTGCGTGTGTGAGTGTGTTCCCGTGAGGGGCTGCGTGTGCTGGCAGACACAGAACACGCTCTGCTCTGGGTGTCTCTGGTGGAGCCTCCGGGTGCCAGGGCACGACATGCCTATACACACACACACACACACATCCTTCTGTGTGCATACATGGGTACATGCCTACACACACCCACACACATGTCCTCCTATGTTCACATATGGGTACATGTCTACATGCAGACACCGGCAGGCACATACATCCTATATGCACACGGGTACATGTCAGCACACACCCACACACACGCGTCCTCCTGTGTGTACACACAGGCACATGCCTACACACAGATACAGGCACATACATCCTGTCTGCACATGTGGGTACCTCTCTGCATACTTACATCCATGCTCACTTGTGAGCGCACACCTACATGTTCCCCTGTGCACACTCAGGGTCACATCTGCACACAAATGTGTTCCCACGTGTACCCATGGACATGCACGTCCGCAGTGGGGACATGTTGAGCTCTGCACGCGGCACATATGCAGCTGTGCAAGAACAGGCAGACGGGGGATGGGTGAGGCTGGGGGGGCGCCGGGAGGGGCCGCCACGCCAGCAGATTGTGCTGGAGGAAGCTGCCCGTCGTGCTCCTGGCGAGGGGACAGCAGCCGGGCAGCTGCAGGCACTGGCTGGGTGCAGCGTCCAGGCTGGGAGGGGCGCAGGGCCAAGACAGCTGCTGACCCCCAAGTGCGTGGAGAGCCAGGGCAGCTGTGGACGGTCCGTGGAGCCAGGCCTGGAAGGGCCCCTGTGGCCCCAGCATCCACCCCCCAGATGGCCACATGGCTCTCCCCCTTTCCTGAGACACGTTCCACGCGTGGAGGTGAGGAACAGAAATAGCCTCGAGGTGGAACACAGGCCCCAGGCAGGTTCCCGGCGCCCTGAGTGGGCACCCACACCCTAGCTGCACCTCCCCTGCCCGCAGCTGTTCTGTGGCGCCCTCCTGCCGTGCGCCCAGCTGGCCGGGGGCCGGCTCAGTCCCTGTCCTGCGGGTTAGGGACGGTGTGTGTGTGGGGGGGGGCAGAGGGCCACGGGGCTGCTTGTCTGCAGACCGACAGCAGATGTGCTTTGGGGCCCGGAGCAGCAGGGGAGGCTTTTCTGAGTGTGCCTGTATTTATGGATCCTTCCCCAAACGCAAGGTTGCCCCGGCACTGCAAATCAGAGACACGAAGCTTTCTATAAATATCAAAATCCACATTGCTTCATTATTTCATCCCCATCTGAGTTTTAACCAATCACAGCTCCGATTTTATTATTATCCCCTGATGCCGCCGGCACAGATGCACGGCCGCTGTGTTTGGATGTACGGGGGGAGCACGGGGAGGGGAGCACAATCAGGGGGGTGTGGAGAGACAGAGCTGAGGACCCGTTCCTGCTGTAGCTTGGTGAAATGAGCCAGTGGTCACGGCCCCGGCCTTCTCTGGGGCAGTGTGACGCTGCCCAGCTGTGCTGTGGGCTCAGATCTGGGCCTGTTTCCTGACTGAGGTCTCGGGCTCCTTGCCCACCCCAGGGTCAGCCCCCACCCCACCCCGGGGCCACTCCTGGTCCTGTCCCAGTGCCCGGGGCCTCCATGGACCAGTTCCAGGCGGGGGTCGAGCAGGGCTGGGGTCCTGTGGCTGCATGAGGCTGGGACGCAGGGGACAGAGCCCTCGATACCCCTGTGGGGGTGGCCCAGAGAGTCGCAGGGACCCAGGGAGCCTCAGTGGAGGTCCCCGGGCAGACCACAGCTGGGCATGGTCACACGGGCCAGATGCAGCTCTGACCCTGCCGTGGCCCTCGCCATCACCTGCCCTGCCGCCAGGTCCTGCGCCCTGGCCACTGTGCGCACTCGCGGCTGCTGTGTGTGTGTGCTCACGGCTCACAGCCACTGTGTGTGTGCTCACGGCCGCTGTGTGCGCTCATGGCTCTCCACCCCAGGCCGGCTGGACACCTCGGGGATCCGCCTGCACTACACGGCCACGCTGCGGCCCTTCGACGCGGGCATCATGGAGCTGGGCCTGGTCTACACGCCCGTGATGGCCATCCCACCGCGTGAGCACGCCTTTGTCCTCACTGGCCACTGCCCGGACACGTGCACGCAGGTGGTGAGTGTGCCCGGCCCCTCCGCCGCGGCTGCGACACGGCCCAAGCCGCGGTGTTGGTGCCCGGTGCTGCTGGCCAGCTCCCGCCGCCTGGGCTTGGGTCCCAACTGAGCAGAGGCGCCCGCCCGGCTGGGTCTCTCTGTGGGCACTGGGATGGCCACCAGGACTGAGCAGCGTGACCCCCGCTCCAGGCCTCTGGCTGCGGGGGGATGGGCCGAGCACTGAGTCGGGCGAGCCCGTCTCTGTGGGTCCTCTGGGGGTCCCTGGGGCCTGGCTGCTTCGGTAACCACTGGAGGGTGTGGTGAGACCATTGGCGCCCACCAGATGGACGGACAGATGGACAGAGGGATGGAGGTGAACCAGGACCCTGCACCATGGCCGCCCTCCTGGTTTCGCCAAAGGGGCTCCGGTCCAGGCAGGACAGCCTGGGGACAGTCGGGGTCCCCGCCCGGCCCCCGGGGCGCTGACTCCAGCCCCCGCAGGCCCTGCCCCCCGCGGGGATCCGCATCTTCGCCTCTCAGCTACACACGCACCTGTCGGGGCGGAAGGTGGAGACGATGCTGCTGCGGGACGGCCGCGAGCTGGAGCTGGTCAACAGGGACCCCCACTACAGCCCCCACTTCCAGGTAGGGCTGAGCACCCCGAGACCGCGCTTGCTGCGCCCAGACGGGCGGGCCGCCTCTGAACGCCGCTCTGCCCGCAGGAGATCCGCATGCTCAAGGAGCTGGTGACCGTGCGCCCGGTGAGCGGGGACAGGCCTCGGGACCCCGCCCCGGCCACCCTCGTGCCACCCCTGAGCCGGGCCGAGGGTGCGGGCAGATCGTTGGGAGGGGCAGGGCCTGGCTGAGGCCACCGACGCTGACTGGGAGGCTCCGGCCCTGCTGCCTCGCTCTCCAGGGGGACGTGCTGGTCACCTCCTGCACTTACAACACGGAGGACAGGGAGGAGGTCACTGTGGTGAGTCCTGCTGCCCCCTCCCCATGCCCCCCAGGGGCAGGTGCTCGATGGTCGGTTTTCCTTTCTTATTTTATTTAGGGGAGCCGGTTCCAAGGGGTGGGGGTGTCGGGTCAGATTCAGGGCTGGCACGTGCCCTGCCGCAGGCCCCCCAGGGACCCTGGTGGGGTCGCGGGCAGTGCAGGGACAGCGGCCAGTGCGCTCGGGCCCATTTGTCCCCGCAGGGCGGCTTCGGGATCCTGCAGGAGATGTGCGTGAACTACGTGCACTACTACCCGCGCACGCAGCTGGAGCTGTGCAAGAGCACCCTGCAGCCCGGCCTCCTGCAGGCCTACTTCCAGATGGTCAGCAGGTGACCGCCCCCCCCGCGGGCAGCTGGGCCGATGTGGGCGTCCAGGCCGAGTGGGGGCAGGCGGGGCACCGGCTGTGCCCAGTGTGGAGTCGGCACAGGATGGGGCCTGGAGCCTCCCCGGCCCGTAGGGGACGAGGCCTTTCGTGGGGGCAGGGCCAGGCGGCACCCAGGGGTCTCCTGCCCCAGGCTTGGCGGGGAGGGGGTGAGGGTGGCACCCCACGGCGTCTCTGCCCCAGGCTCGGCGGGGAGGGCGAGTGCAGCTGCCCGCAGGCCTCGGTGCCCGAGCAGTTCGCCTCCGTGCCCTGGAGCCCCTTCACCCGGGACCTGCTCCGCGCCCTCTACGCCTCCGCCCCCGTGGCCGTCAGCTGCAACAAGTCCTCAGCCGTGAGCTTCCCGGTGGGTGAGGGCAGGGTAGATGGGGGCCCGGGGGCAGGGGGAGACAGGACCCTCAGAGGGGGTGGGACGGGGGCCCTGGGGGGGATATGGGGGGGGCTGGCCATGCCCTGAGGCGAGCCTCCCCCCACCAGGTTGCCCCTCCCCACTGGGTCCAGCACAGAGAGGCCCGGGCCGGCGCTGCCCACGGGGTGGGGTGGGCTCAGGGGTTCAGCTGAGGGTCCCCCAGTGGCCAGCCAGTGGGTGAGCGGCGGAGTCTGGCGAGCCTGGCTGGGGAGGGGGTGCCCGCACACACCCCCAGCCTCAGTTTAGCCCTGGTGCTTCCGCGCAGGGAGAGTGGGACCTGCAGCCCCCGCCCCAGGTTGTGTCCCGCCTGGAGAGGCCGCGGCCCCGGTGCCCCCCGCCACACACGGGCGGCGGTCCCGCCACCCCCACCCGGATGGACCTGCCCCGCAGCAGCGGATGAACAGCCCCGGGGCCCATCCTGCGCCCCCAGCCCCGGAGTGCAGACTGCCCAGTCTCCTCTCGGAAGCTTCCCCGAGGCCCCCGAGAGCCGGACCCCAGGATGGCCCCCACGGCCTCCGCCCGGCCCCTGTGCTCCCCGCGGTGCCCTGCTTAAACGTTTCCTGCTGGTGGCTCGTCTGACTCCTGCTTTCTTGACTCTGCACTGGGCGCCCCCGGGGGTCCTGGGGGAGCTTCACGGGAAATGTGGGGGGCCGAGTCCCCAGGAGGCGCAGACTGCAGCCGGCAGCTGGGGACCCCCGCCCGCCTCTCAGGGTCACACCCTGGTCATCATTCTCCGCCCCACCTCAGTTTCCTCATGTGTGAAATGGGCCCCAGGCTGCCCGGCCCTGTCACACCCCAAAGCACAAGCCCGGGCCAGGGTCTGCATCTCCCCACAGCCCCTACCCCACGCCGCCACTCTTCCCCCCCACGGGCAGCTCCCTCAGCGTCCATCACTGGCCTGTCCGGACAAAGGGCGGGTGATGGACGGCCAATGGCCCCTCCCCCGCCAGGGGCCCTGCACTGCCCCTCGCCTCCTCGTTGGTGACTGACAGCCCCCCAGGGAGGGGGCAGGCGGCCTTCCCTAAGCAGGGAGCTGGGGGTCCCAGAGGACAGCGCCCCCTGGCTGTGGAGGACCAACTGTGCTGGGGAACCAGTTCTAGAACCTTCCACCGCCTGGGACAACTCTCCCACTCCCTCAGCTCTCAGGCCAGTTACTCTGCTCTGGGCAGCTGCTGGGGAGCTGCCAAGACCCCAAGGCCACCAGCCGTGCGCCCTGCCCCAGGTGGCCCCAACTGGTCTGCTCAGACACTCCTGCACACCCCCACAGGCCAGATTGGGACACCGAGCCTACGCTTAGGGCCGCTCACCACGTTAGGGCCGGCCCTCAGAGGCCACACTGTGGCCCTGTTCCCCCAGTGAAGGACCCCCCAACCCCCAGGTGCTGACAGGAATGAGAGGGTCCCACAGCTTGGGTGTCCAGCCCTGCTGTGCTGTGTGACTCTGGGCAACTCGCTGTCCCTCTCTGAGCCCTGAGGAGCGGCGGCCTCCAGGGGCAGGTTGCTATGGTGACGCGTCCCCTGCAGAGGGCTGGGCTCACCAGGCTCTCACTGGCACAGACGTCTCCCTCACCCAGAGGTTCCAGGCTGGTGCTGCTCCTGGCTGTGCTCCTGGGGTGGGGGTCACTGGCGCCTCTCCCAAGGGTCACAGCGGAGCCTGCCACGGGGGCCTTTGTGGCCAGACAGCAGCCTCGGCCCGAGGACTGTGTCAGCCAGGGCCCCACACCTGCCACCGGACGGGGGCCCCCAAGGACACCGACAGTCCCCACGACCACCCAAGCCGGGGTCCCGACCTCTGACACACCATGACCTGCTGCGGCTCCCGGGGTCACAGCCTCTGACCCCCATCTGATCGCGGGCTGCCCCCTGGGCGGCTGGGCGGGCTGTGGGAGGGCCCGCGGGCGCAGGGGCACCACCATGTAGACGCCGGGCAGAGCCCAGAGCATCCTCCGGCCGCCCTGACAGCCCCCGCGGCCCCGGGAGAGTGGACACCACTGGGGCTCCCACCCCTCCCCGTCCCAGGGCGGTGGTCTCCCCTCACCCCACCCAGTGCTGGCGGACAACGCAGGCCTGGAGAGAGGGCGTTTATTGCGCCTCAGTACTCGCCCTTGACCCGCTTGTTGTCGGGGTCGAAAGGGGACTTGAGGTGGGCCCGGGCGGGGTATGTCACCCCCATCCTCTCCAGGGCGTACTCCCCGCCCCTCACGAAGTCCGGGGTCACCTGCAGCAGGAGGAGGACACTCAGCGCAGTGCCCCCACCTGGCCTGCCCTGGGTGCCCCACCGAGATGGGGAAGGGGAAGGGGCCGGCCTCACCCCGCATGTGACGGTCCCACCTGACCCGCCCGGGGTCCCCGAGGGGACCTGGCTGCAGCCCTCCCCGTGAGCCCCGAGGGGACCCTGGCCGGGAGCCCCCAAGTGGGACCCTCTCAGGAAGCTGCCCGTGGGCCTGCTGGGCAGTGTGGGCCTCGGGCCGGGCCCTGGTGGGGACTCACCGGCCCACCGCTGGGGTCCCGGATGTAGCCGTAGGCGATGGTCTTGTCTATGGTGAAGCCAAAGTCGGCCCTGCGCACGTGGCCCACCACCTGGTCGCCCCTCCAGATGGCCTCCAGCCCGAACATGGGCACCTTCCTGCGGCACAGCCAGGACCGTGTCCAGCCCCACTCTCCCCCAGACGCCCACTGTCCCCCAGACCCACCCACTGTTCCCCAGACCCCACACTGTCCCCCAGACACACCCACTGTCCCCCAGGCCCACCCACTGTCCCCCAGACCCCCACTGTCCCCCAGACCCACACTGTCCCCCAGACCCACCCACTGTTCCCCAGACCCCACACTGTCCCCCAGACACACCCACTATCCTCCAGATCCTCCACTGTTCCCCAAACCCACCCACTGTCCCCCAGACTCCCACTGTCCCCCAGACCCCCACTGTCCCCCAGACCCCCCACTGTCCCCCAGACCCCCCACTGTCCCCCAGACCCTCACTGTCCCCCAGACCCACACTGTCCTCCAGACCCCCCACTGTTCCCCAGACTCCCACTGTCCCCCAGACCCACACTGTCCCCCAGACCCCCCACTGTCCCCCAGACCCCCACTGTCTCCCAGACCCCCCACTGTCCCCCAGACCCCCCCACTGTCCCCCAGACCCCTACTGTCCTCCAGACCCCCACTGTCCCCCAGACTCCCACTGTCCCCCAGACCCCCACTGTCCCCCAGACCCCCCACTGTCCCCCAGACCCCCACTGTCCCCCAGACCCCCCACTGTCCCCCAGACCCCCCACTGTCCCCCAGACCCCCACTGTCCCCCAGACCCCCACTGTCCCCCAGACTCCCACTGTCCCCCAGACCCCCACTGTCCCCCAGACCCCCACTGTCCTCCAGACCCACACTGTCCCCCAGACTCCCACTGTCCCCCAGACCCACACTGTCCCCCAGACTCCCACTGTCCCCCAGACCCCCCACTGTCCTCCAGACTCCCACTGTCCCCCAGACCCCCCACTGTCCCCCAGACCCCCCACTGTCCCCCAGACCCCCACTGTCCCCCAGACTCCCACTGTCCCCCAGACCCCCACTGTCCCCCAGACCCTCACTGTCCCCCAGACTCCCACTGTCCCCCAGACTCCCACTGTCCCCCAGACCCCCACTGTCCTCCAGACCCACACTGTCCCCCAGACTCCCACTGTCCCCCAGACCCCCACTGTCTCCCAGACCCCCACTGTCCCCCAGACCCCCACTGTTCCCCAGACCCCCCACTGTCCCCCAGACTCCCACTGTCCCCCAGACTCCCACTGTCCCCCAGACCCCCACTGTCCTCCAGACCCACACTGTCCCCCAGACTCCCACTGTCCCCCAGACCCCCACTGTCCCCCAGACCCACACTGTCCCCCAGACTCCCACTGTCCCCCAGACCCCCACTGTCCCCCAGACTCCCACTGTCCTCCAGACCCTCACTGTCCCCCAGAACCACACTGTTCTCCAGACACCCCACTGTCCCTCAGACCTACACTGTCCCCCAGGCCCACTCATTGTCCCCCAGACACACCCACTGTCCGCAGACCCCCACTGGCCCCCAGACCCACACTGTCCCCCAGACCCACCCACTGTCCGCAGACCCCCACTGGCCCCCAGACCCACACTGTCCTCCACACCCACACTGTCCCCAGACCCCCACTGTCCCTCTGACACTGCCCCCCAGACCCTGCCCAGGGCCCACTCACTCGTCCACGGTGAAGCAGATGAGGCGTCGCCGCAGGCCCCCTGCCCGCTGCTGCTCCAGCGCCTGCCGCCCCAGGAAGGGGATGTCGGACTTGAGCTTGCAGGTGAAGGCCAGGCCAGCCTCCAGGGGGCTGTCATCGGAGCGCAGGTCTGCGTGCCAGTGCCGGTAGCCTGGGGGGGCACAGCCTGAGTGGGCAGCCCCCAGCATGCCCATGCAGGCAATGCACCCCTCCCCCACAGTACCCCCACAGCACCCCTCCCCAGGGCACCTCTCCCATTTCCCCCCCTTTCACATGCGCCCCTCCCCCATGCACCCCACCCCCTGCCCACACTCACCTTTCTCGATGCTCAGGGAGTCGATGGCCCGGTAGCCCGCGTCCACGAGTCCGTGTTGGGCACCCGCGGCCATGATGGCCCGGTACACGGGCACGCAGGATGCCCTGGGGATGTGCAGCTCCCAGCCCAGCTCCCCCACGAAGGACAGCCGGATGGCCCGCACCTGCCGACAGGACGGACATCTGCCACCTCTGCCCCAGTGCCCGGCCTCCGGGGACACAGCGGGGGTCAGCGCAGTGTGGGGGGGTCATGCTGTGGGCACGTCCACGCGGCTCCTGGCCCCTTTCTCTGCCTGTGCCCACGATTGTCCCTTTGTCCCTGAGGGGGTCACTTCACTGGCTGGGGCCACCTCATCAGCAGTAGCCCCACCTCGGGCCCTTGCGGCACCCCGGGCAGTGGACAGGGTATGTTCCGGCTCCTTCGGGCACGGGCCGGTCCGCGGCTGCCCGTCCCGTCCTCAGCAGCCCGGGCAGCTCTGGCCCCGTGAGACGCCCTGGGCTTGGACTGCCGAGCCGCCCGCACAGCTGGGTCAGAGGCACAAGCGGCGGGAGCGGGGGGCTCTGAGCATCAGGTCAGCCCCTGCCCCGTGGTCCACGCAGCCTCGGGATCCCAGGCCCGCGACCCGTGGGTGAGGGTCACCTGCCCACCAGGTTCCCTGAGGCCGGGAGGGGACGGTGGCCCCCAGCCCCATGGAGATGACAAGGCCCAGCTCTCGGCATGCTCTGGGCCCAGCCTCTGGGCACACACGGGACCAGGACACGGGGCTGACGCGGACACAGGCTCCAGGCCCACTGCTGAAGGTCAGCTGCTCCCAGGGGCCGGGCCTCTCGCACGCCTGCTCCGGGGGACAGGG